CCCCTCCCCCTCCCCACCCCCGGCGCGCAATTTCCTGGACATGAACGGCAACACCCCCGTCCACCGCAATCCTCCAACTACATAACCCCTTCTACAACTGCCTGTCTCGCTGTGGAGACCGTGAACGCAACACATACTATTGTCCTGGAAAACGAAGTGCAACAAAAAAAAAAAAAAAAAAAGATTCTAAAAAAGGATTTGCTGAGCAATTGGCGACGACACACACACACACACACACACACACACACACACACACACACACACACACACACACACACACAGATCGCCATCTGCGCAGGCGCAATGAGTGGAGAGACAGGCCAGTAAAGCAACGGTGGACATTACTGGCAACATCGCTCATGATCTCTCCCGGATGGCTTTTGCTATCTCCATAAGGGCGTGGCACATCATTCTGTTCGCCTCATCCACTGCAGCATAATGTTTCCTCTGCACTTCCACTTCGCTCTCCAGGATTTCGCACTGACGTAACATCATGGAGCATTGCCGCTTGCTCGTGCTGTCCATTGTGCTCGCCATATGCGCACCATGCTTGCCCATGACGTTGGCGACGGCCTCAAAGGTTTGTTGCCGCATGTTCTTCCTCTTCCCATATCCGTCACCACTCCCTGCGCTGAATGTGGAGTCTTTCGTCGACCCCTGCTCCTTACGGGCTGCCTCCCCTCCACCCTCAGTGGCCATGGTGCACCTGCAGCACCCACGCCTGCTGGCATCTGAACCCCACCGGCCGCCCCCGTGTCCGCCAAATTTTTCAGGTGGATCGTGTGATCCCCCTTCGTCATGGCCTCCATTTCGTCGTACACGCTCCGGTCCATGACGAAGCTGAAGCCCTCCGACCGCCTGTCCTTCGATGCAAGCTTGAAGTAGTCTTTCCCGCCGGAGAGGTTATGGAACTTGTGGACCTTCTTGAATTGCTGCATCAAGTTGTCCCATTTCTTCCTGCAGTCGACGACATCCCTCGTCACGCCCATCGACTGCAACCTCGCCCGCACGTCCTTCCACTTCCACTCCCTCGTTTTCATGCGGGCGAAACTACTGCCCATGCCCGTGAAATAAAGATCTTGGTCCCTTTTTGCCCTGACGAGTGCGATTGTGTCTCCCACCGACCAGAAATTTCGGCCGCCCTCACCATCGCTCCGCCCCGTGTCGTCATCCATTTTCTTGCTCCGTCGACTTTTTGTAGCGGGACCCTTCCTCGCAGCTGCTCCGCCCTTCGTTGCCTTCCTCCCCAACGGCCTAATGTCTGGCAAATCGTCGGAGTTGCAATCGTCGTCACCGTCAACGTCGTCACACCCCTGGGCCTCCTCAACAGCAGCTTCGTCCCCTTCGTCCACGTGGAGCCGTTGCACCCCTCTCGTGATTGTCTCCGTTCCATGTTGATGCAAGGCCTGCCTGCACTTTGCCCACAACTGCCTGCCGTCGCGGTGCACGTCTGCACCTTCCTGACTCAAATCCTCCAGCCGCTGCCGTCCAGAAGGAGCGCCGGATCCGCTTCGTGACGCAGGTGACAACCGCATCCACTCGACATTTACGCGCACCGACTCCTCCGCCGACGGTCGACATCGACTCATTCCGTTTACCACCACCTTCACGAAGTGATTGAGGCAGCCCTACGTCTCGCGGCCCCCACACACCGCCGTGCGTGTTGTCCACGCAATCCACACCCGGGTGGGGATTGATGATCCGATTGTGTGTTGCCGTTGCTCTGCTGCTGCTGGACATCTGGAAGCAGAGATCAACTGCTGCATTGTCGTCGTCGTCGCACAACCACTCGTTCAGCAGTGACGTGTAAGACCACGGGGTCTCCACCCGCGTGCCTCCGCACGACTGCGTCGCCGCCCATTCCTGCGTCGACCCACTTCCCAACGACAAAGTCGACGACCTGGCGTCTCCCCCCTCGTCATCCGATGGCGGCAGAGGAGTCTCGTGAGAAGGCAGGTGTGCATACAACCTCAGGTCATACGGCCGCTTTGCCACACAGTCTGCACTGTGTTGTCGATTGCTCGCTCCGGAGGTTGTGCCTGCCCGTCTACCGTTGCCCAGTCGTCGATCCATCCTGTCGGCTTTTTTTGAAGATCTCCTTCTGCGAGCCGCGACCGGGACGAGGCCGACGAAACACACGTGGAAGAAGACAACGAGGAGAAGCAGCACGATGACGAGGACCACCAGAGGCAGCCTGTGCAGCAGGTCGGCCGTGTAAGGGCCGCTCGAAGGGTTGCGTGACGTCGACGGTCGACCGTTCAACGAACAAGCCCGTCGACAAAAGAAAGATCGGTGAAAGTTTTGTGCTCCAACGTGCGAGGCGTAACGACAATTGAAGAAAACGACGATCTTCTCCAATGAGACTGTCGCCGTTGAAAGGGCGCCTGGTGGGAAAAACATTCGAATATCAGACCGTTGTCGACGATCGCCCGCCGCAGCAGACGACTACTGGACGCCAGTCGACATTTCGCGTCGACGGACGGAGGCCTCCCGTTGCCGCTTACTGTTTGGAGCTGTTGTGGCGCCGTGCAGATTTTGGACGCAGGGATGTCCGTGCTCCGGTTCGCAGGACCACGTCTGGACCACCCTCGAACCGAAATTGTACGTCGACGCATGCCTTCGCCGCTTCGAAATTTGCGCTTCCTTGTGCTACGAGGGACCTCGGGAGGTCCCTTGGGGCTTAGGAAAAATTGGTTGTGGCCACAAGGACGCCACAAGGAAATCTCCTTGTGGTGTTTTCACATTTGTTTTCGAGAATCGTCCCCAAGGAGAGGTGGAACGACCATTTCCTTGTGGATTTCGGGTCCACAAGGAGTGTCGAACGAGGCCCTATAACAGCATCGAAAACCACCTAAGACAAGTTGCTAGGAGTCCCCAGAGTCCTAAAAAATTCTTAAGGTCACCAAGGGCAACCAAACAAGACCAGCTTACTTGTGAAGAAACCAAAAGCCAACTGGATTATCCGAGGCTATCAGACCAAGAACCTCCTACCCTAGTAACTTTCAACAGCCCAATCTTATCCGCCTCCGCCCTATACCCTAATACTCAACCTCTACCAGGCCTCATACCCCCAACTGCTAGGTTGTAGGGTGGTGCGACCCACCCCACAAACCCCCCACCTGCTAGGCTACAGGGCAGAGCGACATTTTAGAGGCCACGTTCAACATTGAAATCGGTCTATAGCTCTTCACTTCCCTCTACTCTCCTTTCTTGTACAATAAGGATATAACCCCAGTAAGCCATCTCTTCGGTAAACTGCCTGTTACCAGGGTGTTATTAAAGATCAAGCAGAGAAAAGGAGCAAAGCTCTCTCTCGCACTTAGGAAAATTTCAATCGGTAAACCGTCCATACTGGGACATTTTTCCAACGCCATTTTTTTGGCTGCATCACGTAATTCCTGTATTGTGAATGGATCGTCTAAGAGGTTTTTTCCCTCCCGAGGCATTTTTGCTCTCAAATCATCCCAGAAGGAGGAGATCCGAGAGAGGTAACACTCAATCGAATCAAGGGGTCTTCTAGAGGACACTGTGTCCTCAAAATAATATTTGGCATATGCGCACATTTCCTTTGAACTAGTGGCCACTAGGGCAAACACATTAAAGGTTTGCACCAATTCTCGCACCAATGGTTTAGATTTCCTCAACAGCAAACTTTTGAACGTGATCTTTGTCATTCTATCATAGCCTACCATAACCCTAATCCATAATCACTCTAGCCCCTCCTCTTGCTTCTTTGCTTCCTGTCTTTCTAGAGTGACTAGGTTTTGTTTACGTTGTTCCAACCAATAGTACTCAGTGAACGGATCTCCCCCCATTTTAGCTTCCACTTCCCTTACTGCATCCTGAGCCTGTTTTTTTTCTCAGCTCCTTGTTGCTGCTCTCATTCTTAAGAAGGTTTCTTGTGTCGTGGATACAATCCCCAAGCCTACTTCGGACCAAACCTCCTCCCGGTCAAACAAGTCTTTTGCCCCCATCCATTTATTCATCTGGTTACTCATCAACTCAAAGATGCCCTTTTCTTTTAAATGATTAACATTAAATCTGGGTAGCACAGCGTACACGTACGCGGGCTCCTCATACGTGCATACGCGTATGCATGTATGCGCATACGTGTCGCATACGTATGCGCGCATACCCAAATTTAGGGCCCGCGTACGTGGTCACAGCAGGCCGTTTCCCAGGATTGTCTTGGCTCGGTAGGGGTTGGGGGGTGGGCGTTGGGATTGGTTGGGGGGCCAATGGGGCAGATTGCAGTCGGGGAGAGAGAGAGAGAGAGAGAGAGAGAGAGAGAGAGAGAGAGAGAGAGAGAGAGAGAGAGAGAGAGAGAGATCTTCCTCCTCCTCCTCCTTTGTTTATTTGTGCATGTGTGTGTGACTTGTCATGGCTGCTGTACAAAGCACCAGGAAGGCCTCTCTGTCCGTTTGTCCATCATTTTGTAGCAGGTCTGTCTGTATTTCACGCAATTGAAGTGTCTGTGTGAACTGTCTATGTGACTTTTCATCGTATCTGTCTGCATGTTTGTCAGTCCATCTGTCTGTTTGTCACTCAGTCACCTTGTCACGACAGTATGTCTGTCATGTCTGCCTGTTGGTCAGTCTATCTTTCTGCCTGTCTGTCCATTTGTTCGTCAGTCTATATGCCAGAGTCGCCAGACTTGCAAACAGACTTGCTTGACAAGGTGGTTGAGTGAAAGACAGACAGACATGTAAACAGGCACACAAACATGGTCACAAGTCACATAGATAGTTCAACATTTGTATGTCTTCCACGGACGCCAAACTGTTTGTGTGACTTGTTACCGTGTCTGTGTGCCTATTTGCTTGTCTGTCTGTCTGTCACTCTGTGTCACGTCAGTTTTTGTGCAAGTCTGTCAAGTATGTCTGTCAGTCAGTCTGCTGCTTTCTGGTTGACTCGTGGCCACATCGTGATGTGTCGGCCTCTGCTGCTTTCTGGTTGGCCCGTGGCCACATCGTGATGTGTCGGCCTCACAAGGCATGTGGCCCGGGCACAACCACCCGGGCCCTGGGCTCAAATGCCTGGTGCAGTTGCTTCTTCTGGAAAAGCCCCGGGTAGGGCTCTGGTTGTACTTCAACCAACTGTCGTGCAGCAACTGTCTGAGACCCCCATTAGAAAATGTTGAGATAAGGGTCTCTCGTGAATATTCAGGCCCGCCTTCACTTAGGGCGGGCACGAGGCTTGCTGGGGGCCACAGTCAGAAGATTCAGAAGTTTTGAGTCTTCTTTTGAATCTTCTGACTGTGGCCCCCAGCAAGCCTCTAAGTCAGAACATATGCATGTTGTCCAGGGGCCCCTGAGGACACATTCCTCACATCTGTTCGAACTTCGAAGTTCCCAGTAGACTCAAGTAGTATACAAAGTAAAAAAATTAATAAAAAATACGCGTATGCTGGTTTTCAGACACGTACGCGTACGCGCGCATACGCGTACATGGTGCTACCCAACATTAAATTTAAAGGAAGAGTGTATCTTTTCCACGTGATGTTTTGAAATGATATCCATTCCTACTAGTGAGTGATCCGAGATGGACGAGACTAATGTGTCACACCACATGCATTTGTCCCAAACAGTCCCTCTCGCTAAGAAGAAGTCTAACCTTCTCTTATGGATTCATTGGATTGGGGCAGTTTCGGAAGGGCGTGGGCTGAACCACTTATAACCGCTGCACTTCGGGTTCAACACTCGAAATACATCGTGAAGACCTTAAGCTTCCTTGAGGGAGGTTAACATTAGGTGTCTTCCCTGATGGGTGTTGGGATGGGAAAGTCTAGGCATGAGAATGAGGCTCTCCACATCCGGAATCCAGGATGGTACAGCGGCAAACACAGACAAAGAACTTTATTCTCTCCTTGTTCTGGCGTTTGATCCGGCGGAAAAGAGAAAAAAGGCTTGCATAGCGATGCGCATTGGGATTAGGGTCTGCCACGGCCTGGTTAGACACTGCTTAGGACTTACTCACACCGGGACTTCTTTCACTACGCTATGGACGTAAGTGGGTCGTATTCATCCGCATCCTACCATAGTTGAGCTCAGATACGCAAAACAAAGGACCTCGTTCTACAAAATCCACATCACTTGAAATGTCAGGTTCTTAGGGGAGCCGTCCTTCAACCGCGCCCTAATGACAACAAAATGGAAGTCCCCAAAGTTTCCACGTTTCTGATTGTGTATTGTCTGTCCTTAAACCAATAGTACACGGCCCCAGCCTTGGAGTCCGAAACATGTTTGGAGTCACGTTGTTGGCAGAGTGAATGGAGTTGCTCTACAACGCTACAACCCCTTCTGACCCTTCACAATATTCATCTTTCCATCCGGAGTGTTCTGATCGGGGATGACCAAAGCACGGAGGAGTTGGGTACTACCCCACTGCAACCCCACGAACACACGGCCACTAGTAAGTACCAGGCTAGGTATCCGACCATTCCAACACACAGGCTACCGGCCAGTGGGTTACACACACACACGTATGCAATCATTCTGGAAGGAAAGCATACAAAATCTCAGTAAGGATGCATTCATGTGAGGCGCCATCTTCCGTACATGCGCCATCTTCCAACCCCCCTCCTCCCTCCGCCACCCTTTTGTTTTGTGATCTTTTGCAACCAGAGCGAAGA